TAGAGAGGTTAGAGTTGGGGTGTACTTTTCGAGGATGGCTGGCTATCTTGTCTTATCAGTGAGGTAATACCCAGGCATTGTTGGGGAACAAGAAAGATCCGCCAGATATCCTTTCTTCCTCCTTCACATCTTCTTCCTATTAAAATGGTTATCGTTTCGAAAATCACGACGTAAAGGATGTTCTAAAAACAAAGTCACAGCAAGCATCCCTTTCTTCTCATCGGACTGAACCGAGGCTGGTCCGGAGCTTGGTCCCGGCGACCCGCAGGGGGCGCACGCAGCTATCGCAGCATAGCGGGTCCCGCTCCCCAGAGAAGGTGAGCCCAAGTGGAGGGCATCAGGGAGGGCAAGAGTCTAGCTCCCCGAGGGGAACTGAGCGCTCCAGCCTTGAAGATGAAGATGCGGCCTGGGCACAGTCCGTCCCAAGGGCCAGCAGCAAGATAGCTATGGCGGGGCTGGGTCTCTAGTGACCACCGAAGCCTTGGGCCGGGCGCGTCGCTCTAGCCGACACCGATCGCCCTCCGGGCCTTTCTGAGAGCTGGGGCTGCACCCGCTGGCAGCACAGCCAGCCACCCTCTGAACAGCCGGGGTTTATTTGTCTCAGGCGGTCGTCCTCGGTGTGTTGACACACAGGGTCACCACACAATACTGTCAGGCCTCCTCAAGCCCCAGCAGCAGGTCCCCCCAGCCACGTCAAACTGTCGGCTCCAGTCTTTACCATATGCGCACTTCTTAATCCCAGGCGCCCCTTCCTCTCCTTACCCGGGTTTGTGCTCCCTAGTGGGGACTGCAAGAGGGGTCTATTGTCCCACACCATCGCGGGGTCAGACATGGGCTGTGAGAAAGGTCCACAGAGAGACTTCTGGTGATTGTTTCCAAGAGCGAGACCTTTTGGTTTCCTACTTGGCGGGTGTGTGTGTGGGATCCCCAGCCGCACGGCCGCCATTCGGCCTGAGGGGGTTAGGGGACTTTGGGACTCCTCGGTCTTCGCCTGACAACTGGCTGGACCCCGGGCCGTGGCAGGAGGAGGCCACCCCAAGCCTTCGGAGGAGGCACTCTCCCCGGACAGCCCCTTTCGCCCCCGGGCTCCGAGGCGGACGCGGTCAGCCGCGCCCGGCAGGCCCTTTGTTCGTGCCGAGGCCAGCTGGGAGCAGCTGCACTGCGCGAGACCCGCCGCGCCGAGACGCGGGGCGAGAGGGGACCAGTCCGCTTGGCGCCTCCTCCTGCTCGCACCCAGGGGCTCTTCCAGGATCCAGCGTGCCACACGCTGGGTCCTGGCTTTTTCCCCCGACCTGGGAGTCTTCGGGGTTTGGGGAAAAGAGTTCCCAGAGCCCAGCATCGCCCTGCTGCTTGGCTCCCGTGGCCCAGGGAAGCGAGAGGACAGTTGAAATGTCACCGCCGGGATAAATATTAACAAAAAGCAAATGGACTTGCGCGGGGGCCAGTTATCAATCAACCAGGCAGCAAGGCCACTTACAGCAAACACGGCCCAGGTCGGCCCGAGCGAGACTTTCTCATGGCCACCTCCCGGCCGGACCCCTCCGTCCTCTGCACACCCCGCCCTCGCCCCGAGACCCCGGGTTCAGGGCCTCCCCCACGTGGTTCTGGGGCAAATTCCAGACAGGAAGGGGGCGCAGTCCCTGGTGCGGGGGTCGGCGGGTGTACTGGCTGGCGCCAGTGGGAGGTTTCTTCACCTCTAGATACGGCGGAGGATCGGAGTGACCAGGACCCACCCCTGCTCGAACCTGGGGCCTGTGGGCCTTGCCTCCAGGGGCTGCGCCCGCTACTGCGTGCGCGTTGCGGCCTCTTCCTGTGCTGGAAGCTCCTTACTATGGCAGAAGCCTTCTGGAATCTTTAATTGGAAACTAATCCTCTCGCCTCCTAATAGGCGTCCACGTCAGGAGACGAGACACCCACCCACCCGCCCAGCCCATCTGGGAAGAGATGCGGCGCAAGCCTGGTTGCGCTTTAATGGGGCAGCAGCGAGTATTACATTGAAGGAACATATATTGATTTTTTAAGGGTAGTTAATTTGGTGAGAATTTCCTCCTGTCTTCCTTTTCCACCAGCTGATGTAATTTAGTAACGAGAAAGCGTCTCCCCAAACACGCTGCCACGTGCGGAGTGTTTTCACCCTGCACAACCGGCTGTGTGGAACCAGGGGTAGTGTGGAGCATGAAACCTCTCTTCCGCCACCGAGCGAAGGAACTGACCGCCGTGGGCTCCGGTCTCGCATGGGGTCAAGACGAGGTTGAGGGGTCTTTTGAGTGTAACAGCGAGCAAAGCTGCGAGAGGCACCTCAGTGCATGGGAGCCAGCGATGGGGAGGAGCCGGCAATGTCCCACAGCCGCGGCCACAATGCTCTGCAATCCTTTTTAAGTCTCCTGCAGGCAGAACTATTCAGAGATCATTTGGAGGGTTCAAGAAACGACCTCACTTTTTACCCCTCTATATGAAAATGTTAATGGAGGTGGCTCGTTGTTCTTCGGTGACTTAAAAATAGGTCGTGGCTTTTGCAGCCTGGCTCTGCTCACTTCGCACGTGCCCTCATCCCGGCCTTCCCCACCCCTTTAAGTTAAAGAAAGGAAAATGAAAGAGACAAAGCTCCTTCAGGATCTTAGGATTCGGAGTATCCTAAGTACCCTTGGGGTTTGGCGCCAAACTCGTGTCCTGCTAGAATCTCCGCTTTTCCACTTTCACCCCCCAGGAAAAGGCCTTCGGACGGAGGGCTTGACATAACTCACCACTCGCTGCTGGGTGTCAGACAGGGCCCTTCGATAACCTCTGGGTCCCTGTGAGCCCCAGCGAGCAGGTTGCCTGCGCCTCCCGTGTGCTGGCCGCAGTACTCCGGCTCTCCCCTCACCAGCACTGAGGAGCCCACGCGTGTAGGTCAAAGGGTGCTCGCGCAGGGAGGGCACTGGGGTGGGGGTGGGTTGCCCGGGCTTGGGATCGTCTCCGAAGACAACCTGTCAATCCGTCTTTGCAAGGGGCGACTAGAAGCAGTGGGAAAGGAGGGTCATTGAAGTCCGGTGCAAGGCCCTTCACGTGGTGGAGAGTGGGGAACGACCTTCCCGGGGTGGTGGTGGTGGGGCTCTCTCCACTTCCACCCCTTTCCAACATTCCCCTCGCCCCACTCACCGGCCTGTGCCGGCAATGCCTGCGTAAAAGGTCCTGAAGCTGAGGCTCGAGCCTGGCGTGGGCCTGTGAAAAAGGCACTGACTACCTCGGCCGCCCGCAGAGGCGGAGCAGTCAGGGAGGAGTGGTCGTTTCTCCCACTCTTTCTGAAACTTCCAGCTGCCCTCTGGTCTGGGTCAGGTCACCGGGGGTGCTATATGGTGGCATCACACAGGGCTAGAGAGGAGAATCACGGGTGGGAGGCGGGGAGGGAGGGCGCTTAGTCAACCTCTCCCTTCCTCCGCCTATCCCCCGGCCTCCGCTTCGTCTAGCTTCCTGGTGCAGGCTGCAAGAGTCTGCGTGGGCTGGAAAACTTGGCGGGGCAGAGGCTCAGCCTGTGCAGTGCTTAGGCTGGGAGACCACGACTGCCCAGACCCAGGAGTGTTTTGGGTGGCACCGGAGCTCGAGCCGCAGGCTTACTGTCACGCCGGCACCTGCCTCCATCTGACATCTCATTGGCCATCACGAGGTGGGAGGGTGCTCTGGCCTCTCGCTTTGATTTTAGACTGTGAAACGGCTCAGTGCCCCCGGCTCTGAGCGGATTGACTGTCTCTCGTCCTCCAGGGACGAATTAATGGAGAACAATCAGTTAATTAACAAACCTTCATTCCGCCTTTTACCTTTCTCTTCACCAGGACTCAGGACAGGGCGCCGGGCTGAGAATGGGGGTGGGGGACGGCATGGACCCATGAGTCAATCAACTCAGCCCGGGTCTCATCAAATCGAGTCTACCCTCCGCTGCCTCGGCTTTACCTCCCTGCATGTCCTTCCCCCTCGGGGGACGCCGAATTCACTTAACATCTCCGGTATGATTCAGGTGGGGCTCAGCTGTCCCCTCGGTCGGCCTGCAGCTTTCTCTGCACCTTAGCCTAGAGAGGCTTGGGACAGCAGGGTGCTGTCTTTACATCGCCGCCAAGACCTTCCCGCTCAACTTGGGAAGACCCGGGCCTCCGAGTTTCCGGCCCAGGAGATCTATGCTCGCAGACTTGGGGGTCATTTCCACACTCCCACCCACTGCATGGGGATTCAGACGAAAAATTACGCAGAGGAAAAAAACGAAATGCAAATTCCTAAGCAAGCTAACAGAGAAGGCAGTCCTTGAGCTCAACTGGAAGTTGCCCTGTTGCCTGGCCGCGCTCACCTGATCCTTGGCACTATCTGCCTTCCTCTTCTTTCCAGGCTACAAGCGCAGAGTGGGTGCTAACACTGACACAGCGGCCGCATCACACATCTATTGCCCCTCGGGTTCAGAACACTGTGAGGGAACTCTTCGAGTGCGCTCTCGATCCCTCACACGCACCCCCTCCCACGCCAGCAAAGTGAGCACGCGGGGAGGTCACCCTAGCAGGTTCAGCCAAACAGTGGTGGGCTGCTCCAGGGCGCTCCAACCCGGCACCCGGGTGTGTGCTAGGAGTACTGGCTGTCAGCACCTGTGCGCAGTTCCACACACGCGTTGCCTTCCTCTCCCCAAATTCGTAGTGCCCACCCGAGAAGCGATGCACAGGCTGTGTCTGGCCAGGTGCGAGGATTTTTCTCCGCCTTGCCACGGTGCGAGGCTGCAGAGCTGTCTCCTGTCTCTAAGCACAAACGCGCCCCAGTAGTAGCCCAGGCCGCGCCGCTCAGCTCCCGGAATGTTCCGCAGCCCAACGCACCGAGTCCCAGAGAAGACAGTCGGCTCCCGGCAGCTGTGTGCTGGCTCTATCAGGCCCAAAGACACCCCCTCTCGGGCAAAGGAGCACAGAATGCATTTTGCCCAGCCCTCTTTACTTCCCTCCCTTCCTTGGTCCCCCAATATCCCCGTGCGCCCAGTTACTTAGCCCGCTCACCTGCTAAGCGGAGCGCAGACATGCGCTGGAACTCTGGCTCCTGCAGCCACTTCCACATTCTCCGGAAGGTCTCCCGTCCGGACTTGAGTTTGCTCCAGGGCTTGGGATTACGCAGCAGGTCCGAGAGGGTCCCTTGGGAGCGGCAGAGCACCCTCTGCGCGAAGATGGCCTGTGGGATGCTGTAGCGCTTGAGCTCGGTAGTGATACGCTGCGCCACCTCTTTGGTATTGATCTCTTCCATCTGCCCTGAATTACTTCCATTGCTGACCTGCGCGCCGTTCACCGAGGGGTTGGACTCCCGGGCCGTGCCCAGGAGCTGCCCGTGGCCCTGGGTGTTCAGGTGGGCGTGGGGGTGGTGCGGAGGAAGGCCGTTGATGGGCACCATGCCAGCCGAGGTGGGCGTAAGGTGCTGCTCCGCGTGACGGCTGAGCATGGCCGGGTGATGGGCTTCGAAGCCGTTTGGGGTGAGCATCTTGTCGGTGGGCATGGCAGCACTCGGGTGGGCATAATGGGGGAGCCCTTGCTGGGAGTTGTGGATGCCGCCCAGACCGGAGCCAGAGAGGGGCGAGAGGCTCTGGCCCATGCTGGCCACGTCCTTGTGGTAGGGAGTATAGAGGTTATTCATGGAGGCCAGCCCGCGCTCGTCCCTCATGAGCGTGAAGCTACCGCTCACGTTGCCCGCCAGGCGCTGGTGGTGGTGCGGGTGGTGGTGGTGATGGTGGTGGTGGTGATGGTGGGGAAACTTGTCCGAGACGGTGGAGATGGGAGGCAGCGGCTGCAGAGGGGTTAAGGTGGTGTAGGTGGTGGGCATGCTCATACCTGGGGGAGTCTCGCAGGCCATGGTCATGGTGGGATGCAGGGGACCGGCCAGGCTGTGCTCGGGGGCCCGGTGGTGGTGGTGGTAATCGCCGCCGCCGTCCAGCAAAGAAGCCATGCCCATGGAGCGCGGGTGCGCGGGGGGCAGGTGGCTGCCGCGGTGCGCCACCGAGCTTCGCGCGTGGGGGCTGCCGCCCAGCAGGTCGGCAGGGGCGGGCACCGGCTCATGGCTCACCCCGTGCAGCTCGCCGATCGCCTCCATGGTCAGCTGCGCGTTCATCTTGATCCGGGCGAGCGGGCGGCGGACACAACATCGATGAGGCCGGGCAGAGGCGGCGAAGGGCGCACCAGTCCGGTCCTCACCTGGGCTGCCGACGACTGTTGCCTTCCTCCTTCCTCTCACTGTGGGGCTCTGTCTCCCTCTCAGTGTGTCTCGCCTTCCCTGTTGCCCCCACCTTTCCCTCTGCGTCCTCGGCTTTTTTTTAAAATATTAATTTCCAAAAAGGATCCGTGCCTCAGGGCAAGCGCGGTGTCCCCAGCCCGCCCGCCCGCCCGCCCCCGACCCTTCTCGCCCCTCTCCTTTTTAGAATTGCGAGGCTCCCGGCTCCCTTGACGCAGTCCGCGCTCCTTCCGCGGCTGCTGCCTGCCCGCGCCGCTGGCCAGCTCCAGCCATGGCTCGGTTACTGTTTCAGACTCTGTGGCCGCGGTTCCGCCGCCGCCGCTGCAGCCGCCGCCGCCGCCGCCGCGGCCCGCCCTCAGGCCCGCCAGGCGCAGCGCGCAGGCGCGCGGCTCGGCCCCGCCCCCTCAGTCCCCGCGCGCGGGGCTCGTGACGTCCCCTTACAAATGATGGAGGGGCCGGAGCCCTACCAGCCGCGCGGGGTGCCGTGGGAGCTGCGTGCACGTGCGAAGGCCCAGCGTAGAGTTTGACCTGCGACCGCCTAGGCAACCTCGGGACACCTGCGCCCCCTTGGTTCCCTGGCACGAGTGACCCGGCTCTCCTCCCAGCTCCCGGCCGCACCTGCCAGGCTCCCGTCCCGGTGGCGTCCTATGCCACCTCTGCTCACCCCTCTCTCCAAAAACTGCCTCGCAGTGCAGATTGCCCGGGGGGCCTCAGCTTGGTGCATCACTCCTTGCATCCTGGCCCACTAAGCTTTATTTCTCGGAGGGCTTCTGGGAATTCGCGATTTCCCCATCTTCGCCTTTTGGGGGAGAGAGGAGCAAATATCTTAAAGGCCTTGGTCAGCTTGTTGGCTGTTGACTCCGCAACCTCCTCCCTGATAACACTGCTCATCCTCCACTTGCATGCGCTGGGGAGGGTAGCGCTCATTGCCAACAGTCCCGGCTCCGGCCATACCTCGCTATTCCCCACCGCCCGGGTCTCTTTCCGGCTCAGGTGATAATTAAGGCGCCGCGCCCGCTTCGTGAATTACTCGGAGTGTGTGTGTGTGTGTTGGGGTGGGTGGGTGGTGGTAGGTTCCCACGTTAACTTCTGGGTGCTGGCGGGGCCGCCGAGGCTCGGGCTGTTTCTGCGGTTGCTCCACGGCCCTCCTGATAAAGCACCCAGAGGTGCTCACGGGAAGGACTGACGCGGGTAGGGTGGACCAAGAGCTCCGGTCTCCACTTGGCCCGTAGGGACGCCCTCTTTCAGGCGTCCCCTCGAGAAGCCTTCAGATTAGAAAATCAATTCAGCTCCGGGCATAATTGTCCGCTTCCCACAATCACGCTCCAATCCGGAATCGAACCTGGTCCTTGGGCTGGTGGCAACGCGTGGGGAGCCCCCCAGTGTGGGACATACACCCGGCCACCACAAGCCACAGCTTTCTTCCATTTACAAAAGAAAGGGAAAAAATCCATAACAAAAGGCAGGGCCGTGTCCGCTTAGGTGCTTTCATCCCTCAGAGAAAGGACAGATGTGCCCATTGTCCGGCCCTTGGCAGTTACTGCCGGGTCAGCGCCAAGCCTCAGCCCCGGGTGCCCAGTCATAACGGAAGACAGCTTCCCAGAGCCTGGGATCTGGATCCGGATATGGAACAAGTGTGTGTGGCCTCTACTGGGTCAAACTCAGACCGTATATTCTTTTTCTGGGGCACTCCATGAGAGCCTACCGACAGGGTCTCCTATGAAAAATATTCTCAGACCCGAGGAGAAGCCAGGGCTGGGGTGGTGGTTAGTAGTGGTGGCTGAGTCCCCTAGGCAAAGTTTGGACCCACCAGCCCTTGGAAGAAACGTCCCACCACCTAAGGCATGAGCAAGCTCATCTCTTTGCTCAGGCTTCTGCCACAACCAGGGCAAAAATCATAATCCAGGCAAGTCTAGGCCAGTGGGTACAGTCAATCTTACTTCTTTGACAGTGGTCATGTTCTGGGATTGGTTAACCTAGATAGTTCCATTACCAAAGACACCCCCATCTTGTCTAAATAATGCCTAGGGAGGCCCTGGAAATAGGATATTTCTCAATGGACTTAGAATCTACTTACATAATGAACATTTAATAACTTAGGGCCCCCATATTATGATTAACACACATAATGTAGGGGGGTCATGGGGAAGGCAGTATAGCACAGACAAGACAAGTAGTGAGTCGATAGTATCTTACTATGCTAATGGACAGTGACTGCAATGGGGTATGTATAGGGAACTTGATAATACGAATGAATGTAGTACCTACAATGTTGCTCATGTGCAGCCTTCATAAGATTGTTTATCAATGATACCTTAATAAAAGAAATTAAAAAAAAAGAATTTAGGGCCCTCAGAGTGGAAAGGTTTATTTGGGAAAATACACTGATATCAAGGTACTCAGAAAATAAAATTACTCCATTTAAAATTTTATGTATATTAATCTAGTCATTTGCACATGGACACAAGCATAAAACATATATCCTGCCTAGTGGATCACAATATATTGGTGGGAAGCTGCATACTTGGTTCCTTATTGTTTCTGTTCTCTTTTCTTACAGTGCTGAGCATGTACTTCTCATATAAGACCAAACAGTCTGTTACAGTAGTAGGTAGCCTTTAAGCTAAACTGTTATGTACCTCCCCCCCTTTTTAAATCCCTCTGAAATGATTGATTTGCCTTTACAACAATTATCTTCCCAAAAGGCAGTTTGGTAAAAGAGAGAAAGAAGTAAATACCACCAAGTGCACAAACTGTTCATGGTTTTTCTCTTTGTGTAACTAATTAGGGACTTGATCCTGGAAACCCTTCATGTGAGGCTCCGGGCTGAGTCTCTGGAGGCTACCTGAAGAGGCCTGGGATCAGGTGAGCTCAACTCCTACCTTCTCTCCTCTTTATGATAAAGGGGCCTGGTTCTGTGTGGGTCCCCAAAGGAGGAGCCAAAGGAAAGATCTGGAATACCACTATATATATTGGGCTAAATGGTGTGTACAACTTGCTTTAATTTGCAAATCTCCCTAATGTTTCTTGGCTATCCACCTTTATTTAACCCTTGTTTTCATGTAGTTGACTAAATTGCAGTGATTTCTCAGAAACATTTTATTCTTATTCGACCTCTTGTAAATTTTCCTATTAGGAAGGATGTGTGATGCATGGGAAGGATGCTTTTAGGCCTAGTTAAGGTGAATGTGCATGTATGCATGTATGGGGAGGGACACTAGATGGACTGCCAACTGCTGGAGGGCTGGGATAGCTTTTTGTCATTTTATCTCTCTCCTCCTTTCCCATTTCCAAGCCTAACAACAGTGTCTGGCACCCATCAGGTACACTATGGGGGACTAAAGAATTAGATCCCAAGGAGGGGTCACTTGGAACTACTTGGCTGGTCAGTGTATGTCATTACAGGATACTGTACAATTCTTTATAATAGACAAGAAATTTGAGGGGAGGGTTATTTCCAGCCGATTAGATTTTGAGCAGCTGCAGGGAACTTAAAAAAACAGTCAATCACCACCACAAAATTCCATACATGTATATAGAGAAAGGGAAATAAGACTATCCACTGGATGCTTGTTGCTGGCAATATTTTCAGTGTGAAAACAAGGATTTCAGACTGCTTATTTTTGTAAATGTCACGGTTGTGGTGATAGTAGTTGGATAGGTACAATCCTTCCTATGCTGGGTGAGCTAAAGCTTGTCAGGCTTAGAAAGGAGAATGAGAATAAGGCCATTCCTCCAAATGCTGGCTATGTAAGGTTTTCTGAGAAACCTACAGCAGTTTCAGAGTTACTGCTCTAGTTCTCTTTGAGGGTAGTAGAGATATAACATATAGTCCAGTTCCAGTTTTCAGGACTATTCCAGAGAAATATTTCTAGCCCCTTTGAGCCATCAAATGTTTACTTGCCATTTGTTGACAGCACCACCAGCAAATCTGGGTGTCAGGGCAGATTTCCCCACCTAGGGCTCTAGGGGGAGGCTGATTCCTTGGCCAGAGCCTCAGAATGTAACCAGCATTTCTGGTGCCTATACCAAGTTTAGAATTAAACTCCTACTGAGGAATCATTTCTTTGGTGTCTGGCAACAGTAGAGCACTTGATAATTTTGGGGTGGAAGATTTCTTCCCAGTTGCTCCTGTCTTCCTCTCACTTCTGCAGAAATTTTTTTTCCAGAAAATTGCTGTTAGTTTAGAACACCAATAAATTCAGAAGGGGGTGGTCTGGTCATTTGCTATTGAAAACCATTAAAAAAAATTAGTCAATGGCTTCTCTCCACTCCCTGGGGCCCAAGGAGGTGGTAACGAAGTATTCTAGCTTTCTTTGTCAATCTAAACAATTACTCTAGCTTTCTTTGTCAATCTTGTTCTTCCATTTAGCATACGGTTTTTATTCTATTAGTTTTGTTAACTTTTTTCTTTTTTCCTTCTTAATGTAAATTAGTTTTTGCCCATGACTTTTTTTTGTCACTCTGTATTTTTTCACTCTCCTTTGTTTCATCTCCTACCCACCATCTCCATATCCCAAAGAGAGGATGCTTTGGTGAAGGGCTCTTGACAGCTCATGCCAACCCCAAGTGATTCCGTTTTTTGCAGAAGATGCAGAGGGCGGCTGGGGCAGCTGTCCCAGGAGTTAGACCCCTCTGATAGCGTCTCTTACTTCCCTCTCCTGGGCCTTCCTGTAAGCTAGGGGTAGTTTCCCTTTGGCTTAAATCTGAACCCGCAGTTGCTCACGTCGGCGAGGGCCTGTCAAGGCCTCAGGCCAGGAGCGCTTAAGGGAGGAGTGTCTTGTTTTCGTGGGGCGGCGGGAGGGATCCGGGCTCCTGGGCGACTCTCCGGCGTCTGGATCCCGCGCTGGATACAGCCAGCGCGATTCCGGGGAAGTCGGCCATCTCTCGCCAACCCTTCAGAGGATTTTCTTTCCTTGCCTTATCTTGACATCGTTTAAGTATATTACAAAGGAGACCGTGCGGGCTACACAAGTGAAGGATGGGGCGACGAATGTACCAGATTTGGGGCGGTGGTTAAGGCTCTTCTTCCGGTGCCTGCCAACTGGGGCCCTGCTCGTGATTAGCCACATGCGAGGGTAGAGAGTGCCAGGGGTGGGGGCTGGGGAGACAAGGGCAAGGAGCTGGTGCAG